TGGTTAATATGGATTATTTTAATTAGTGGTTTGGCGGAAATTATGATTTTTGCTTATTGAAATAGATTTAGTATAATAATTTACAATTTTACTATTCGATAACAATTTTTATTAGAGTCATCTTTCCGTGAAAAGATAGGTCAGAAGTTATCTATATAATTTTAAAATAGTATATATATATGACGCATTTTATACTTCTGGTCAATATTCAAATTGTACAAATGCATGTAATTAAATATATTAATAATATGGTCCAGAATTGAATACCATCTTTACATTATCAATCTTTGAGTTTGGATATATCCGATTAAAAGTCAAATCTGTTGAATAATTTAAATGCACAAATATTTATTTAATGAATTGATGGTTTTGAGTTTGATACATTTGCCTAAATGGAATACATATTCTAGTTTTGGTTGTGAACCCAAACTAGGTGGTAGAAATGTTGTAATTAAAAAAGGAGTTCTGGTCGCAACCCTAGTGATTTCCCACAGCTTCGTTTTGAAGATTTTTAACGTATATTAATTACATAAAATACATAAAATTAGCAGATTTATTTAAATAGGTTAGATATTATAATAACATATAAAATATTTTATAACTAATGGTAGACTCTGAATATTCGATATAAAATAACAAATATTAAGAAGTATATATCAATAATACTATATATATTTTATAATATACTAATAAAGTTAATTATTGGCATGCAATTAAAAATATTTGAGCTAACTATCCTATACAATAAAATATGATTAGTCAAAAAATTTTGATCATTTAGTTCGAAAATACTGCATAGATAAAGCCAATCAGCCGAATTGCTGTGACAAAGGTGCGAAAAATAATAATAACACAGGCCTCAGTCGATCAGAGATTTTCCTTCTACATTGGAATAAATGTACTGTACATGCTTGGCTAATTGCTTGTTATATATTAAGCGTGGCGATATGAGCAAGTTCTAGTTATTAATTTCAATATTATGCTCCAATGATTCATAAATTTCTTCCTCTCTTTAAACTTATCATTTATATTTTTAATAGTGATACGTTCAACCAATTTTTCAATTTCGTTAGCTTCAAATTTGATAGAAAATCATAACTGATAGACCTGCTCATGAAGAGTTTTTTGTATTGATCTATAGTTCCAATTCGGTTTCTTCACTTGACTCGTCATCTTCTACAATCTATTCATTTCACTAATAATATGCTTGGCCAAAAGTAAGTAATTAATAACCATTTATCTTCTTAAGAAAATTTGGTTTAAAACTCACATGATGAATATACAAAGTTCTTTAATATATATCTTAATCTCATCAATGATGCCTATATGTACTGGTCGCGAATGCAAGTAAATATGACCTAATCTAACTTATTTTGTAAATCAATCCTAAAGTCATAACGATCTAATCGTGACTCTGTATTACACTGCCAAGAACTATCTAAAACTTGCCTTTTTTTCGAGCTCTTTGCGGCAATTGCCAAATAAGTAAATATTATATTTTTTCTCCACTTGTGATTATGCTACTTATGATAACACAATAATATCCATCAACATCTGACAATTTCAACTATTATTGAGTTTGCATGTGATTCATCAATATTGTTTTAATTTGTCGATTCGATTTGAAGACTCATAATTCCATTAAGATCTATTTCGTGTACTCTCCTCTTCAATATTATCCACAAGTTTTTTTACAAACTAAATCGAGATTTTTAGGCTCTAAAACAGTTTCTTGCATTTCATGAATATTACTCATTCTGCTCTTGAAATTTCATAAATTTGCTTTGTTATTTGACAGGACGAACAACAAATTGAATTTCCATTAATTAATTATTATGAAATATTTGGTACATAAAATTTTTTAAACGACACTTGATATAAGTTACAATATAAATAGACATCATTATAAATGACTACTGTAATACATTGCTTTATTAAATTTTCGATAAGTAATTAATTCCAACTCCATAATAATTGATCGTGGAGGTTATGCTGAGTTCGTGTAAAAGGTCTCAAGCTCAGGTTTTACCCGAATTAAATCAACCCTTTAGGAGTACTAGTTAGACTAATAATTGTAGAAGAAATAATTTTTTTACTGTTTCTTTAAATACACTGGTGTTTAGAATTGGTTTGTATGCTTAGTATGATTGATAATTATTACAAGAGATTCGAGTATCAATTTTCAAGAAATAAAGAGCATCCTAACATAATTTTGGCTAGAATTAAATATGTAGATATCATAACCTTCTAATAAAAGTTTAATTTCGGTACTAAGTTAAACCAATATTCTTATTAAAATTTTGCATAGTTAAATTGATTAGCTTATTGGTATTCCTCATTCATTTTTAAATTCAAAATTTATTTTTATAAATTTAAATGTAAATAAAATGATTTAAAGATTCTTACTTTCAATAACAAACAAAACAAAATGATAAGAATAATAATCTAAATTTGCAATAAAAATGGTGATTAGGCTTGTAGAAAATTTTGGTAAGAAAATTACTATAATTGCACATTCCTAAGTGTATGTTACATAAACACATATATTATGTAATTTAATTTAATCTAAATTTGAGTACAGTCAAACCTCTCTATATTCACACACTTGAGATACAACGTGATTGTAAAGAAATGTGACAGTTATAAAGGTTAAATTTGTTATATTTCATAATAGGTTGTTTTTAAAGAAATGGGTTTATAAAGAAAATGTGCTTATATAGGAGGCGACTATAGAGGGGTTTGACTGTATAAATAAATTAATGCTTACTCTCTAGCAAAATTTGTAATAAAAGTATACATGTTATTAGATTATAAAATATATTGATGTAGATACATTTAATACTGTAGGATACATACTCTAATAATTCGAGGAAAGAATAGGTTAATTGAATATCTAAGTGGATCAGAAATATTTAAATTAGGCGTAAGGCTATAAAACTATAGTATACCATCACGTTTTTCTTTGAATTCAAAAACGGGTGTGGAATAATTAAGTAAACGGGTGAAAATAAGAAACAAAATAATGTCTTTTAATAACATTTTAACAAAGTTTTAACAAGTTGTTAATGTTAAAAAAGATGAGAAATAAATCGAGTATATTTATATTTTTGCGGAGAAACTCATCTCTAATGCAGTATTATAATTTTCAATAAAAGTTTTAGTGCAATTATATTTAATACAATTCATAATTTGAACTTTTAAAATATTAATAAGTCTTGGATATTGATATATCATGCGTAGTGATGAACAGGGATGATAAAAAAAAAAAAACCTTTCAACTGTTTTTAAACGTTCTTCATTGTTTAAAACTTTTTTCAAGCATCGGTATCTGATGCTAAAATTTTGCCGAAATTGAAAATATTGCATCTGATTGGTTAATTTTAATTGTCAGGCAGAAAATTTTTTTTAAAAAAAATGGAGCTAATAACATTCAGAACCCAACAGATTATTTACCAAATTATATCGATTAGGACTTATATAAAATGGGAGTACAGCTTTAACATAATATTGTACAGCTTTCATAAATTCATCACTATGCTAACATACTATTCACGTCATTTATCTGATCGTATATCTTCACTTAAACCAGATTCTTACATTTTAATAAATGACCTTTTTTCATCTGTCAACTAAATCAACACAGCTTCTTTCTAATATTACATTTCTTGGCAAGGTGTTGTTCGATCACATTTATCAAGTTCATCAACTTTTGTAAAGTTTAAACGGATTCTGTTAAAGGGGTCTTCCACGAATTCGAGACATTGCATTGCTTTGAAGAATTTTTTTTCGATTTGTTCTATGTTTTTTGAATGCTAGTAATCATATACATAATATTAAATATCATCCAGAAAATGTGTACCAGGTTGGTGCGCCATAATAGTTGGATAGGAATTAGATTCTCCAAAGATCTAGACCAGATTGTTAACACGTAATCGTTATCTTGCCACTTTTACTGTATATAAAAATAAGTAACAACCCTTGTCGAAACAAGTATCAACTAAGCTGATTTAACTCATTCTAAGTTTAGTATAATAATTAGGCTTATGGATTAACGTTAACTATTCTACTACATTAAATTAAATTTTTATTATGAACTTTAAAATTTTATAAAGATACTTTTATCTATTATTGTTAATGGCGAGCTGTTAATTCTCCATTTTAGCAAAACTATTCTCAATAAAGCTGATGTTAATGACAAGATAAACAACTTACAAAATAACGTACTGCATATTCCTACTCTTTTTTGTTTGGCTAAAAATTGATTTAGAACCATTTCAGGTTAACGAACGATGGTCATTGAATAATTCATATTCCACAGGTGATTTGGAACCATTAGGTATAAACTAAATGAGAATTATCATAGAACATTATATGCGTATAAAAATAATCGTAGCATTTAAATAATCATAACAGATATCATTGTAAAATCGAAAAAGGACTCCCAATAATGGAAATGATCAGCAATTATTGTTCTTTTGAATTCTACCCGACTACGTATACGTATACTGTACATGAAAATAACAAAATTAAACCAAATAGATAAATGTTAGGTGATTTGTTCGATTATTTGATGTAGAGAACGTATTTCAACAAAAAGTCAATTATTTTGATTGTATACTGGACGGAGTTTAATGGTTAAAAGACAATTAACATTTGTAATATTATTATCTAAAATTCTTGTAATTCGATACACAAATAAGTTAATTTATTTACATAAAGTCCGATATGAGGCATAAACAAAGAGATTTTAACCATTTTCTAATCAATAATGAAAATAATAAAATGTTATAATGTTATAAATAATAGTACATATGCATATATTTATATAATGAACCTATATGAAATTTTAAAGCTTTATTTATGAAAATTGTAGTTTATCATTCCAAACGAAAATGGATCATAAGTCAACATTAAAAGTTATAAGCTTATTAAAAATATTATCTTTCCTACTTTATTTTATTCTTTGGATATATTTTGAAGTTAACGAATTCAAATTCTACGAATTAAAGTCAAATTCTGCAAATCTAATTTTGACTATTGCTTTTGCTTTTTCAATAATATTTTTTTGTACAGAGACAATATCTGCTTATATAATAAAAGGTCTTGGAGGATGGTTTATAGCAAACTGTTGGATGACTTTGTTTATATATTTTATTCTTCCATTAGTTTATAGTGATATTGTTAATGTAGGATATTTCGAAGTGGGAAAAGTGCTTCCTGCCCTAATTGTATTATTATGGATTATACAAATGCTTTCATTGACTCAAATTATTATTATCAATATACACGTTAAACCTGATTATTTGCTAATTTGTAAAATTATTAAACTATTATTTATTACAATTTATTTAATAGATTACATTATTTGGGTATCTATGGAGGTATCTATAGATAAAACAAATGAGAGATACGATATATCCTATTTTGGCGTACCTGAGGCTAAAAATTCTTTTACAAATGAGAAATACAAAATATACCACTTTAGCAATCTTATAGTTGTTTCAATTGTTGGGTTTAGTAATTTTCTTTTTGAAGTAGTTAAAGCTTGTACAAATCAAAATATTTCTTTTATTGGAAACCTTTTCCCTATATTATTCACTTTTATTTACTTTGGAGTCGCCTTTTCAAATATATTATTCTTAACAGAAATAACCTATATTATGCTTGATGGATTAATATGGATTATTTTAATATGTAGTTTTGTGGAAATAGTATTTTGGCTTAATAATATAATAATGAAGCGGAAACTATAGACCCATAGAATTTTTATTTATGAATTTTATTAATTAATTTTATATAAATGCGAATCTTTATGGATGTATAAATAGAAAGTTAATTAATTTTAAATAAAATATTTTTTTGCCTTTGTACATTTGTAAGTTTATAATTATCCAATCTTACATTAAATCTCTCTTACTAAGTGAAAATTTTCCAAATATCTATCCAATTAACTAGTGTAAATTAATTGTTCAAGTTACTACACGTAATTTGTATATTTTATAATACTTTTTGATAACTTAACTTAATGCTTTAATATGCGAAATATATTTCGAAGTATCAATATTTACTGTGCAGAAAAACCAAAACTAGACAACTTCAAAATTTATTTAGAAAACAGATTTATTCACTATCCATTGTAATGGATAATTAGCTAACTAAAATGAGGCAACAGAGATGTTTTGCTAAAGAATTTTTTTATTGTATCATTTTTAAATAAAAATTAAAGTTTAATTTAAATCAAGTTATTTATTTAGTTGACTCTCTTTGCAATATTGTATTTAAACGTATAATATAAATTTTTTTTTTATATTTAGCAAATTCAACAATATAAATTCTAATAAATAAATGCATTTTTTTTAAGTTAAAAAATCAAATTTTAACTTAAATTTGATATTCTAACAAAAACCAGAATATAGTATCTATTTATTAGTAATGTGAAGTAAAAAATTATTGCTTGTGAAATGTATAAAAAATTTCCTCAAATAATAAATTTATTACAAAATTGAAACAATCGACTATATCAATATAAGCTTTCTTTTCATCTAGAACTGTGTTGTAAAGATGTGTACTTGCATCGAGATCCGTTCATAATTATTGATTATACGTAGTATCTTCTTCATAGATAAATAATTTTCATGTATGGAATAATCATAATACTATTCGATTATAATTTTAACTCATAATAAGAGGTGGTTCGTAATAATAATGCTAATGAAATGAGTACTTTGTACTGTAGGGAATAAGGAAGAATCGATTATTTGTTTACCAGTCAAATAGACAAGAACAAAATAAGACGAAGTCCTAAACTAATAAATGTAATTCAAAATAAATTTGGTATAATAAATACAATTGAATATTGTATTTCTTGGTCTATTATAAGAAAGAGAAACTAATACATGTATAAATCCCAATTATCAGACCCACACCCATACAAGAGACCCCCACGGGTCTAATTATAGGTTTTAAAGTTGGTAAAATGAATTATACCTGAGTCTTATATACGGCAGTTTACGGTATTAATTATTAAAAAACAATAGCAAATATTATAAATATAAAAAATTTATTAAAAGCTAATTAATTAGTTAAAAATAATATCAAAAGAAAGTAATTGAACAAAAGAAGAGTGCAAGTACAATCTAATATAAAATAAATAAAATCACTTAAAGTCTTTTTAGGCCAAATAAAAAAAAATTAGGTTTTTAAAATTTAAAAACTTTGGTGCACGAATAAAAAGCTAGAACACTAAATAACAATATGTGAAGGTAATAATATTAACAGGTCTTGTGCCCATATTTCTGTTATAGTTAAGCATAGAAAACAATTTTTAAGGTCACATAATTAATTTAATATTTAAATTATTTATTGAAAATGGCGCTACTTTGCATAAATTATATTTAAATTTTTTTGAAATTAAGCCAGAGCCTTTTATTCATTAGAACAAAGTGAGCAAAATTTATCAATATTTATGTTTTGCAACATCAGATATCATCAGTATTGAAAGTGTTACTACATTATTAAGAATCTTGGCAAAAAGTACTACGAAAATTAGTTCTTTGGAACTTATCAGACCTTATTCTAATTATGGGCCACAATTATCTCGTGCTTTTATATGTATTATTAAATCACAAGAGCAACTTAGGCAATTTAGATTAGTTTATAAACATGCTTTCATAGACTTCTACGATGTCATTTCAGCTTTAAATAGTCAAAAAAATCATTACAGAGATTACAATAGAGAATTGCGTATGTACACAGTGGTTACAGTGCTAATGGATTTAAAAATTTAGAAATTCTTCGTATCAGAGATTATGCTAATTGAAATGTTTACTAGTTGCTCGATTGATACGTCAAATATGTACAGTTTTTGCAAAAGTCTGTCGCATTATTACAACGACTAAAACTCGATCCAGTTGGGGAGTAAATATGGTATTACTAAAAACTTTTAAATCCTTCTGTTCAAATATTATATATCTCAACATTTCGAAATTTAAACTTTCCACACAATTTATAGAGCTTATTGGTAATTTACAAGAACTTCAATTTCTCACGTTAGCGTGCATTTATGACATACCATATGAAGAATTAAGAATATGAGTAAGTAGTTTGCAAAAATATTACCGTTAACATTGCAATATCTTGATTTAAGAGACGATTGGCTACATTCATTTATTGATATTTTCTCGATCAGTGCAATGCACCTTTAAAAAGATGCTAATTTCTGATATTTAATTACAAGAAAATAAGCAATAGTCGAATACTCATACGAAACAAACATTTGAATTAGTGGTTGGAACCGGTTTTATTTTTATTAACCGGGTTTAGTAGCTTTTTAAAAATCAAAACCGAATATAAACCGGTTATCCGATTAATCGGTTATATTAATCCGGTTGAATCCGATCAATCGGTTTACTTTAACAATTTATCTGTTATATCCAATACCGACACTCTTTCATTATTTAATACAAGTGAAGGTGGGGGCCACCGGCACTCTATTGTACTACTTGTATCAATTCTTGAAAATGGTTATATATTCATATTATAATTATAATTCTAGGCTAATATCCTTTCATATAATTCACTAAACTATCTCAATTTATCTATCTTGAAAGGTTATGTTTGGATTTATATACTTTATTCTGCAATTTCGTTACACAATGAGTATATTTCTGTAACTTCATAGATAAACAATAATTTTGCATACAAACTATGTAGTGTATTTTATAGCAAAGATAAGGAATGCAATAAGCTAGTTAATAAAAATACGCTGTCCGCTACCAAATTTCTTTTATACTTTCGGGTTACATAACTAATCATTAGACTTTGGTTATTTCTATACTACTTTACCCTTCGCTTATTATTCTATTTAGCCCGGTTATTTGTATATATTGGGATTCTTAAAAAGATATTACATACTATTACTAATAAAAAAAGTCCAATGGTAATATTTATAAATATGGTGCGACCATGAAAAACCTGTTATCGGGATTTTAGGATTTGGTTCAAAATCCGAAAGTACAGGACAGGTTTGAATTTTCTTAATCTAATTATCTAAAATCTAGATTTATTTGAACTCAATCCAGGTTTAAATAAACCTAAGTTAGGTTTATTTAAACTAAACCAAATTAGTTAAACTCAATTTGAGTTTATTTAAACCCAAGTTGAGTTTATTTGAACTCAAATCAGATTTTTTAAACCCAAACCAAGCTTATTTGAACCCAAGCCAAGCTTATTTGAACTCAAGTTAGGTTTATTTAAATACAAGTTGGGTTCAAATAAATCAAAGATGTGTTTATTTGAATCTAATTCAAGTTTATTTAAATTCAATCTGGGTTCCAATACTCAGAATATTACCTGTAGTCTAAAACAAAAAAAAAAATAAAAAAATTAAAAGCCTCATGCCAGAGCATAGCCCGGGCTCTAAGAGCTAGTAGTTTTTTGTTTATATTTTACTTTTTTTTACTAGCATATATTATTGTAATTAGTACATTAAATTTAAATGTGGAAATGGTGCTTGCTGTCTTGATTGCATTGTTATGGATTTTACCAATACTTTCATCAATACAATTGATAGTTACTCAAAAAATCTAATCTCTTAAAGCTTTCTAAAATATTAAGATTCAATTTATTATGGGGGTTTTTTTTTTATTAGATTACATTAGTAGTGTAACTAAAATAACAAATTTATCCACAGATGAAAACATACGAGTATTTCATTCTAACAATCTTGTAATTGTTCTAACATTAATACTGCATTGATTAAAGTAGTTATAATATTATAAGAATTTTATTTTTATCTTTTTCTTTGTGGATATTTCAAATCATATTTCTTGGCGACAACTTATATTGTGGTTGACGGGTTAATATGGAGCATTTAATTGGTAGTTTATGGAAATTGTATTTTTGCTTATTAAAAACCAAAGTGAAAATTACTTATAATTAAGCAATAGTTATTATTATTTTGATAACATTGAATTAATACTATGCTTTTTTGACATAAAATTTATATATTAAAAAAATTCGTAAGCGTAATGTAAATTCTTTAATATAACAATAAATTAACATTTATGTTCTAAAAAAAAAAGCATGTATTAGAATATGTATTAACAATATACAATATTTTAATCCAATATCACTTATCGAAGGTGAGATCAAGCAAATTCAAAGTTTTAATCAAATAAAACTTGAGATAATACTTTTTTAATATATTTTATTAATCTCAATTAACTCGAATAAAACATTTATTTACAGTGTTGATTTAATAATTTTAATGTTAACTAACGGCATTATAAATGTTATTTTATATGTAAATGCGTTTTTCAGTATTTTCTAAATCTTTCTTTGCAAAGATTTTAATTACATAAGTTAATTTCTGAATCATCTCCTTCAATCTCTCAGTATCTTCAAAAGAAACTAGTTTTCGTCTCCGAAATCTAATCCATTCTTCGCGATACTCAATTAATACCCTTCTTTGTTTATTGAATTCAAATAAAAGATTATTAATACGATCCCGAATGTCAGGAACTTTCTTCATAATTTGTTTTAAATAATTGAGATTTCGTTTTAATTTTCCTATATTATAGATCTTTTCCAACTCTGGTGTAACTTCGTCAAAAAAAAGTTCTACATCTTTCATTCCATTTGCAAGTTGGTGGTGCATCCCAATATATAAATCATAAAGATCATCAAGTTCATTTAAAGTTATTCGGAATTCATCTCGCAACTTTGTGATTGTATTTAAAATCTTTCCGTAACGTTCAGCAAAGTATATTGCATCCTGCCTTGTAATAACTTGTTCCTGGGAAATTTCGTCGTCGATGGATCTCAGTTCTGATGAAAGCTTTTTAAGAGCATGATTACCAGTGGAATACATTTTTTCGATGGCCTCTCCCGAGTTACTTATTTTATCCCCAAGCTGATTGAGGTAATGTGCTACGTTATCAGAATTTTTAGAAGATAATTTATTCCGGTTTATAATGTCAGCGAGATTTTTACTCGTTACTCGATATCCCATTATCACGGAGGATGCTATTTTGATGGAATTATTGTTATCAATACTTTCTGATAAAGTTTTTTTTTTTCTTATCCAGAAATAATTAAAAAATTTTGTACCTGGTGTATTAAGCTCAGCAAGTTGTCCAGAAAGCAAATTAGTGGTGTTTATAAGGTCTCTAAATATAGGCGAGTCAACAGGCTGTACATAATAATAAAAGTTAAACTTCGCGCCTAAATCCTAAGCTAAATTTAAACTTTAAAGTAATAAATTAAATCTCACCGGAAGGAACATATCAAATATTGGCTAATTTTCAAAAGGTACAAATAATTAATGGATGAATGCCACATAAACATGTGCACAAATAAAAAAACTGTATTAATAGAAACTTACTTCATAGTAATATGCAAATCCGAAAATAATAGCAATGACAGCAACTAAAATGCTAATAGTTTTTGATGAACGAATCGATTTAATTTTTTCTACTTTCAAATCATCGCTAACTTGCTTATCATTGGAAGCATCATTGTCAAGAATAGAACTTAAATTATGCGTATGTTTGAAACTATTGTTTGAATCATTGTTGGTAATAATAGAAGCTTGATCTTGCTTGGTGTAAGGATCATTGTTGTCATTAGTAAATCTCAAGATTTGCTTAGTATTAGGAGTAGGACTATTATCACTAATAGACCTTGAATTTAGCGTAGTATTAGAGATATTGTTGTCGAACCTCGAATTAATAGAATCTTGATCTTCTTTGGTGTTAAAATTATCGTTGTTACTAGTGAACCTTGAACTTTGCTTAGTATTATAAGTCGAATTTTGTGTATCTTGGAAACTACCTCCGTTGACAGTGGTAGAACCTTGATCTTGCTTAACGATAGACTTTGAATTTTGCGCGGTATTAAAGGTATTGATGCTAAGGGTAGAACTTATATTATCATGATCTTCTTTGACGTTAAGATTATCGTTGTCACTGGTAGGCTTATCATCATCACTAACAGACCTTGAGTTTTGCTTAGAAGCATCATTGCCAGGACCAGGAGTAGAATTTAAATCTTGCATACCGTTAGAACTATCTTTAGAATTGCCATTGGCATCTGAATTTTGCTCTGAATTAGGATTATCATCATCACTAACAGACCTTGAGTTTTGCTTAGAAGCATCATTGCAAAGAGTAGAATTTAAGTCTTGTTTGTCGTTAGAACTATCTTTAGAATTGCCAATGGCATCTGAATTTTGCTCTGAATTAAGATTATCATCATCACTAACAGACCTTGAGTTTTGCTTCGAAGCATCATTGCCAGGAGTAGAATTTAAATCTTGCTTAACGTTAGAACTATCTTTAGAATTGCCAATGGCATCTGAATTTTGCTCTAAATTAGGATTATCATCATCACTAACAGACCTTGAGTTTTGCTTAGAAGCATCATTGCAAAGAGTAGAATTTAAGTCT